TACGTGCATAATAACACGCTGTTTTGCGTTGCTTGGTTGAAATACTGTTGTGCGGCAAAAAATGTGGAAAAAGTAAGTAAATGCAGCAGTTAGCAACGTTTTGTACTATAATCAGAGCAAGGAAACCCCATCAGGTGACTGTAGGAAAATATTATTTTCCTACAGTCACCCGACAAAGTTGGCTTCCTTGTACTGTTTATAGTACAGAAAGCTGCTAATTGCTGCATATTTATACTTTGCCGTACGGTTTATACTTTGCCGTTCGGTTTATACTTTGCCGCACATCAGGATTCCAACGAAACAACACAAAACAGCGTGGTTCCATTATGCACGTAATCCGTGTACGCTTGGAAATAGGTTGGCAACACTTAAAGATAATTATACTATGAGCAGCTGATTGACTATTATAACTACGATTTAACCTGTCATTTCGTGTTTATAGTTTCGGTATTTCTGAACTTTCTGGACTTTTCTTTTAAACGTTTTTAAAACCTTCCTACGATCTTAATAAACAAGAAAATACCTTTTAAGCATTTTTTTTAGGCGCGGAAACCACTTCAAATTACAAAAACATACGGAACTATATTCTCAAAACGCGGAGCACATTTCTTGCCGAGGAAAAATAGCGGAGTGATATGGACCGCGGGTACTACTTTCTCTAGGGCACCATTTGTGTTGCCAGCTGAACCTAAAAACGTGTTGCATAGTGTTTGAAAGACTAATTATTTATATGCTTTATAGTGACTGTAGGAAAAATATAATGTGTAACACGAGTGAAAAAGGCCTTTGCTGCACTCGAGATCATTCCACACTCGCCTGCGGCTCGTGCGTAAACATTGCTCTCGTGTGCAGCAAAGTACCACTTTCACCACTAGTTACACAAATAACTATTTCACCTAAATTCTCCCAAATGTTTTTATATTGAAGATTCCCACCCCATAACAGCTGCATCTCAAAACACGTCACGCAGTGGTATAGAACAGCTGTGAGATGTAAGACAGAGTTATGACCCGCTCACGCGTTTTATTTCTTCCAGTTTACCTTGAACCTCGGTTGAACGACATTGCGGGAGATCGATTAACGATCTGTGTACAAAATAAGAGTTTTATATTCTGTAGTCACGCTTAGGGCTGCATGCTATGCTTGAGTCTTGGTTAAAGGAATATTTTTTTGCAGTGTTTCACTTGTAAATACTTAGGGCTGCACGGTATGATTAAATATCTTGGTTAAATACTGAGAAATATTTTTTGCAAACTAGTTAAATACTTAGGGCTGCTCGTTATGGTTACCTAAAAATATATTGGTTAAATACTGAGGAATATGTTTTTGTTCAAACTAGCGTTCTACCCGTTCACCCAACGAGATGAGTAATAACGTAAATATACTGTAATAAATCGTTACTCATCGACTATTAAGAAACAATTTCAATTGTGTATCCCTTACCTCATTAAAATAGAATATGTTCACGCCACAACATATATAAGTTCGAATATATAAGAATTTTATACAAATATGCATTTCATTAAAACCATTGTGGTATGACAACATAAAATCTACATGACTTTGAATCAGGTTTAAAACATCTATTATGTCGTGTAAACAAAATTATAACTTAAATATACATATCGGTGACAGGAAAAAAAGAACCGGTAACTAAATATTTGGTAGTAAACAGTTTATATATTACAAATACGTTTAGATGAGTGTAAAATACCGCTGACTGGCGTGTTGAACGTTAATAATTTGGTTTTAAAGTAAGCCACATCGGGTTTCACTTGCAAAAAATAAAAAAATAAACTATTTAAAAAATTAAATGTTTGAAAAAATCCTTATCCTTATCCTTAGCTCGGCATTGTACATTGCCGTCTTGGGCGGCACCAGACACTCGACAGAAAAACAGACAATTCTAAGACATTACAAACAAATTCCCTAAACATCAATGATCATTAACATGATAACATGTGATCAATGATAAAATTTCATTTATTTTAATGGCTTAAAGTTAACTTTATTATTTAATACTTAATAAAGTACATTTACCTTCACGTAAATATTAAACGATTCACATACCCGTACTAAACTCCAGTGAAATGATGTTGATGTAGACTTCATCGTTGTGTCTAGGATTAGGTTATGATAAGTTTGGTGGAAGAGCTACCCAAACCACCAAAGGTTCTCAACATTTATGAGGTCTGTGCTTGAAATTCTAAGTATCCGGCAAATCAATAGTGTCCAAACTCCGTACAGTTGATAAACACTTGTCGACTGGTATTGTAGATAATAAATACTAATACTAATTACAACACTAATTCCGATACTAATTACTACTAATACTAATATTGCCAATACTTATTTTTCTAATGAAGCAATGAGCTTTGCTTGGATTGAATTAAACATTGAATTTATTACGTTATTTAGCTAAATTAAAGATATTTCGTATGTACCGTAATCAATGTGAACAAATCTTTGACCATTTAAAGAAAACATGTTAATACACCTTTGTAACTACAAAGACTAGCTGTTACCCACGGGCTTCACCCCGTTTGACTTCATAAGTATTATAAAAAAACTATTTATTGGTTAAGTTAAGCTGAAATAAACAAAACAGAATACAGCATTACAAACAAATAATCACACCAGATTTTAATAAGGCGATAAATTAAAAGAATAACATACAAATAAGAACAGGTGAGGTATTTTTAACATTAAGTATATGGAAGTTCCCTTTACACGTATACAGTTAACAGTATAACACAAACCAGCAGGTAACAGTTATGACCCCAAACTTAGCCTATCAAATAATAAACAATAGTGTATTATTTAGTCTAAGGATGAATTAAATATGCAACACAAAAAGGAGAGTACCTATACTTATGGATCAGCTTACTATCAATTAATGTTTTTGTCCGGCATAATTATGTATTAAGCATTTTAAAATGTACCATCAAGCCAACAATTAAGCTGTGTTTTGTAAGTAAAGCAATTTAGATGTTAAATATTGCACTTAGACTATGAACAAATGAATCACCCATTTGGAAATACACCATTAAATTAGAGAAAAACGTAGTCGACATCGGTACACATAAGCCTAACCAATATACATTACGATATACATTTTTTTGTCCTAGGATGATAGGCACGAGCCCGGGTTTGTTATGCATAAGTACTTCAGGCTAGACCTAGAGGTTGCGGCATTATCACTTAGATATAATCCATTGATGATTTGGCGGGATTTGAACCCGGAACCTCTTTGACCGAAGTCTCGCGCTCTGACCACTAGACCAGCTCGCTCCCCCTTTACAATATACATTCAGATTTCAAAGAAAGACGAGAAGAGTATTGGTAGTATCTAAAGTCAATGGTTCAAGATATAAATGCCACTCATTAATATTTTTCCAAACGTAGGCAGTCTCGTAGGCCAAGGCTAATTATTCAGACTGGCGTACGTCCATGAGAAAAACACAAAAAAGTCATGTTTGCTGTTGAATCAACCATTGTTGAATGGGCTATTGTATTACACAAAGAAAATGCATCCATGTAACAAGCAGTAATATACATATTTTTGTATACAAGTGCGAGAGAATATGCACCCATGCTATGCGCAGATGTATTTATTTAAAAAATAAAACAATATTGCTAAGGTGAAAAAATGCAAACCAGTCCAAAAAGCTAAAAAGTCTTACATTTATTTACACGAAGGCCCGCATGAAAAGGATCCGATAGGAATTTAACAATTTGTTTGAAACGCTTAAACTTAACTATTATTGTAAAAACTTGTATTAGAAAAGAGGTAGTTTGTCTGCCTTTACCTTGACGCAAAATTAACTCAACAAATTCACTGAAATTCTTACACAATGATAACTACAGAACCGTGTAAGGTCATTGATAAGTTATATTGCAGATTTTAAAATTTTACTTGAGGTAGGTTTATACTCCAGTTCCTCATAGTTTCGAGGTAGGCTCTTTGGGAAGTACATTTTGATTGTTATAAATGGCAACAAATAGAAAAGCCACAATATTCAAATTTGAAAAATAATTATCCTCTTTTGCGTTCTCGCCTGCAAAGCACGGTTTCAGCTACTAGTTTAGTATAATTTGATTTAATATGTTCCCTAATAGCCGTCATAGTCTTGTGTATGTGTGTGTAGTCTACTGACTGGTAGTGAGTATGTTAATAGGTTAATATAGACTTGCACAAACTTTCATGGGACTATTTAAATGCGGTCTTATTACCTAAAAGTAACTAATATTATAGACGAAAGAATTTAATAGACAAAGTATTTAATAATTTTGTCTATGCTGCTAATACCCTCTTCTTTACGTATACGATGATTTAGGGTATTTTATTATTTATACTTTAATCTAAAATGGCGACTATACTAATGTAGGTATTTTAAGCCAAGAATGAATAGAAATGAGTGTCGGATGAGTGGCGTGATCTTGTAGTCTTGTTAGTGACTAAGGCCGACATTTTTCCTTAGACACAGCTGTTATTTAAAAGCCCATACAGCCAATGGCAACTAAGGAACCTATTGTTTATAGTGGAATCCGAACCACATATTTTCCTTGTAACTAACGAATTGTTCAAATTATCAGGAAAGTACTGCGGTTAGTCGTAGTACTCACTAGTGCGGACGTTAATCCACACCAGGGAGCATCGCATCCACAGTGCATGCCTATACAAATACCCAATATTTGTGACCTCCTATAAGTTGGATTACAGGACGACGCCACCGTCCCAGTCTTTAGGGTAGGAAATATTCCACCAATTTAAACCGTAGGGTTCGAAACCATACAAAAAATAATATATCCAGGATCCCCTATAAGTAATCCAGGCATCTTAAACATTTAGTACCAACGTTATACAGAGACTGATGATGAATACAATACGTTAATATAATATGTGTGATAATCGCTTCTACTGTGTAATCTATCAACACTTGGATTCAAATTTACTATTTTCAACAATGCTAAATCTATTTTCGTAACCAAAAACTCACCCAGGTTGTAGACGTGTGTAGGTCCCCATAGACTGGGAACCCATGACTGAGGCAACACCATAAAACACCATGAGGCTCCACCAGCTCACCATCCTGTAAAACGGTTGTAAAATATCAATGATCTCCTCTAACTGCCCATTAAGAGGTTTATGGTGACGTGAAATCACTTTACACATGCAGACAAATCAGATTGTTTTTTTAAATATTGAATTGTATTTAGTCAAGTGTCTTTGTTTTTTGTATTAATTTAAATGTCTTTGTTTTTAAAAGTCGATATGTAATTCCATCACATGACCATAACCATTGTTGCTTTCATTCACTCCGAATTACCTCTCATAAGAGAACAAATGAATACGTGTTCTTATGAGAGGTGATTTATGGTGAATAAAAGCAACAATGGAGTTTAAAGAAACCCTAATTTTAATCGTGATTCGTCCTCTCTTCAAATTACTCCTTAACCATTTACAATATCTAGGCTACCTACTTACGTACTCATTTGAACTTTAGACACTAGCTTTAATAATGAGATTTTCAACATTTCCCAATCAATGCCAAGTGCAATTAAATAAATTCAATGACTATATTCAATCGTGTCCCTCAGCTCAAACCACTAAACTAAACCTTTATCCGGCTCGAAGGACCAAAAATGTGCGGTTTAGCTATGATATAAGTGAGGAAGTTGAGAGGATTAAAATAAAAAGAGGTTTAATTTACAAGAGAAAAAATTAATACATGTTCTTATAAGAGGTGATTCACGGTGAATGAAAGAAACAATGGATATGGTCATGTGGTGGAATTACATATGGACTGTCTCAAACAAAGACATTTAAATTAATACAAAAAAACAAAGACACTTGACTGAAAAAATTACATTTTCTAACTTCCGACCTTAAGTAATTTTTATTTTCAGTTGTGAAAACAAATGCGTGGTTATGGTAACGTATCTGTCGGTCTCTTGTATTGGAGTCCTAAACTCGAAAACAGGGCGAAATGTATTAACTTCGGAAGCGTAGGCCTACTGTAGCAATTTATATGTAAATTAAAGAAAATCCTACATAGGACTTAAAATGAATGCTTCGTTACTGACTTTCAGCCTCTCAATACTGCACAATTACAATATTAATTAAAACTTAGGTCGAGTTGGTCGTAACATTTGGTACTACTGATGTAAAAATAATTAAAAATCCAAAAAGTATGAAAACTGTAAACAACAAAACACCACTCAGATTTATTGGTATTTATTATAATTTGAAACTGCTTTCTGAAACAAAATTTATCCTTTTATCGCCTTTAAATTAAGGCTTACAAATATATTATTTTCGTAAGTTGTCAAGACACCATTACGTTTGAAAACTGATCTATAATTTTATTTTCCCCTTAGTTTCTGATACCGAGATCAATGTGACAAAAAATGCTATAATCCACAATAAGTTGACCTTGAAGTTTGACTTAAGCGTATTCGACAGAAAATATTTATTTGTGTAACATGTGCGCGAAGTGACACTTTGCGCTATATTTTTTTTTACAGTTACTATAAAGCAAACAGTTAGCATTTCAAACACTAAACAACACATTTTAGGTTAGGTTAAATCCATGCGTTGAACAAAAATATAACGTTAACACTCACGAAACAACATGTTAAGCCGTAGTATCAATACTCTACTCTACTGTCTACTCGTAGTATCAACCACTCTGGCTGTGAAACGCTGCACCAGCTGATCGTAGTTGTAGTATCTTTAAGTGTTGCCAACTTATTTTCAAGCGTAAGTTACGTGCCTTATGCACGTAACGTGCACACTGTTTTTTATTGTTTGGTTGGAATGCTGAAGTGTGGCAAAGTAAAACGAGTGCGTCAAAAGTAAGTAAATGCAGCAATTAGCTACTTTGCGTGCTATAATCTGAGCAAAGAAGACCCACTTTTTCAGGTAACCGTAGGAAAACAAATTAAATAATCCTCCGTGCTATCAAATGGAATAGGTTAATTAGCCACTGTATAATGGTGTATAACCATAGAGGAATAACCAACTAAATGTAAACAAACAGTAGAGCCCTCGTGGTGGGGGATGTGTTGACGCAGACGGATGAAATATTTAGAAAATAACGCAATTAACTTCGACATAAAGTCAAATTTACGAGCGCGTTTACAGACCTCCAGCTGGGAGACGGACTCCTTGCTGAGATATACAGGGTGTGGCGCAAAACCTCCTCCACCTGGTACAGAGCATACTCTCAGGTATGGTAAATCAGCTGTTAACTGTGCGGAAATATATGGCGAAATGAAGTTTATCCATGTAAACGTCATCCATACTTGTAAGAAATGCCAAAATTAATCACTTTATAATCGCAGCGTCACTTCGTACTTATGGGTACTTTCTTATAGGGGACCCGATACAAATATGGAAAAAGTATTGTTTCGAAAAAATAGTCAAGGATAACCCATTTCAGGACCAAATTTTGATTTTTAATGGTGATTTTCCATTTGATAAAAAAAACGGGCCAAATTATTTGAATTAATATTGAGTACGATATATATCTTGTAATCTTGAACAAAATTGTACAACCCTCATTGCTGTAAATATTACGGCTCCAAAGTTATTGCATCTTGTGTGATTTTCCCATAAAACCCATAAAATAGAAAAAAGTCGGATTTTTTTAAATGGCTTTGATTCAAATTTAGTATGTTATGGTCCTTTAACTCCAAAAAGTGTACAACCCCCATTGCTGTACCAAATAAAGTTTCAAAGCTATTGCAACTTATTTTATTTTCCCAGTAAAAAATACTGTTACTCCTAACACTTTAAGGAGTGTCGAAAAGCTAATGGGAGAAAGTATGTGTTAGATTGCTGATACTGTTTATTTAATTATACTGATTATAAATACTAGAGTAAAGTGTAGAATACTGTAAGGTGATAAGTGTAGCCTTGTTGCTAAGATGAGCTGTATCAGCCACGACCTTTAATAAACCCTATACCGTCTCGAACTAGAAATAACGAAAAAAAGACGAGCAAAAACTACTCTTAAGTTATGAATTACAACAAAATCACAAAATCTGGTTGCTGATATTGCCAATAGAACTACTGTATTTAAATTGGGTCATAACCATAACTAGACAATATTGGCCTCGTCCAAATCGTCCAATACATTCTACAAATTTATACGTTCCCTATTTATGTATTGGTAGACCTCTTCTACTAGGTGATTTTTGTGTTCGAAATATGATTTGCAATTCTTTCAATACACATTCTTGCAATAGTGTATCCATTTTTTTCATATAATTCGGTCATAATAATGTGGTTCCTGCAAAACGCAATCCCCAAAAAAAGCTTAAACTTTTACAATCAGATGATAGTTTTACTTCAATACTTGTAGGCCTCAATGATTGTAGGAGGTTTAGGGAAAGAAAATAACATAATACTGTACTACTCTATGAAACAGAACAGTTGGTACACCCGTTGTCTAGTACATTTCTTCTTATTTATTCAGTCTGTTGTTCTCTTTGCATTTTATTTTCTGCTTGCAGCGCGGCCCACGCCTGTTCGTTAGTACAGCTGGTCCTGTGATATACGACACCGCAATGTGATAGCCGATCAGCTGATATCTTCACAGCTGACTGGCGGCTGACATGTAGATCAGCTGATAATTCCCGCCGTTTTCCGATATGGCGCCGTTATTTACGCGGCGATTCCCTGAGCGTTTTCGTGAAAGATAAAAAACAGCTGTTAACACAGCTGTAGAATATGTTCGGTTAGAAAGTACCTTTTCAAATGTTATTTTTACATGGCCTGTATAGCAATAACTAAAATGCTTTAAGAGTGGCTTAAGAAACTCGATTGTTTGAGGCTTTAAAACTTAATGAAGAACTAAAGGTTTTCTCTAAAAACGGATTCAACTAATCACATTGTTTGTTAATTTCTTGCTTTTTAGTAGGACTGTTTTAATAGACATTTCAACATAACATTGTAAAACTGAGCTGGAATGTTTTACGTTTGTATTCAAACCATATTTGTAAGAGGCTGAAGTTAGTGAACGAGTTTGTTGCTTATTTTACGTAGACGTTTTCATACCGTGGGTTGGTTGGTAACATAAAAAAAATATTCATTGCATTTAAATATCCAAAGCTAAAATGTTAAATAAGTTTCTAGTTTATTGTTAAGTTACATTAGAACAGTGGTTCTAAATTGCAATGAACCCCGAAAAAGTGTCTAAAATAGTCTTTGAAAAAGAGACGTCCAAGAAAACCATGCTTCCTTTATGCCAGACCGAATATTCTTCGTGTATTTTAATACGTTGAAATATATATGAAAAGGTGATTGGTTAATGTGTTACCGTTGTTGAAAATAATCAAATTAGTGATAAATTCTTTCATACTGTAATTTGTCAAAGATTAAAGAGTACCACTATTTAGTATTTAGTGTAACGGAAGTTTAGTTTTTAGAACTGAAACTCAAAACCCTTACCCGTCAAAAATTCAATAACAAACATCCTGTCCCATGGCGTCACTGCTCTCAGTAACTCGTCGGCTGCTCATCAAAGAGCGGGGAGGAACACTGCGATCCATGCACTTTCGACATTCAAGTGAATTCAAGTCCACGTGGACTGTCTAGAAGTCTCGACCAATGAAAGCCGAAGGCAGTGTAAATCAGCAAAGAAACTGGGAATTCATCGAGACGGTCTCCTGGTAAAAATCGGATTAATCGCTCGCGCCTCGAAGTCCTGGTTGTTCGCGAATTTATGTTTTTCTAGTGTCTTTGGTGTATTGTCCATCGGGGATCTCATCAAAATATGTATGTTTCTTTGTATTACATCTTGTTCGATAGCTACTCGCCAGTTCAATAACAGCAGTTCAAAATTTAACAGTAAAAAACTATCGATTAAAAAATAATAAGATATGATATTTAATCAAGAATCAAAATCTTTTCCAAACGACACATACATGCGTATAGACACGTCAAAAGGTGCATTACATGCTGAAAAACACGAGTCAGAGACATAAATTACACACAAAATACACAAATTCAAGCTTTACAAATGCAACATATGCAAAGGGCATTCAGATGGCAGAGCGAGGACTCGCACATAAAACACACAATATAAAGAAAACAATTTAAAATAACTACTTCTACAAAAAAAGGCAACACTAGGCATAAACTACATTGACATTTCTTTGGTTGAACATTCAAAAATAATATTAAATAACAATATAGTTAATAATATTAGAAATAATTCATAAGTAATAATAAACATTTTATTTAGTTTTTACATTTTCTATTTAATCATTTTTCTTTAACATCTTTTCTATTTACTGTTTGTTGTGGTTTCATATTTATGATGGTCATTTTCCTTAGTTAAATAGTTAATTACATTTGTATAATCTTTGTAAATTTTAATTTCATTCAGACAATTTCTATAGTAGTTCTCATTTAAATATCAGCTTTTTATTTGAACCTATATTTATAGGTGCATTATTTTTAAATCCCTCCAAGATCGCATCAATATATATATCATATTGATATTGATATATATATATATATATATTCTTTTTTTCATACGCCAGAGGCACTTCACTAGAGAATAAATGTATAAATGATTACGGTAATGTATACATATTACGGTCCCAACGACAAACTAACAAGTTACCAAACAGTCGAGATGAGAATCGTCATTTGCAGACATTCAGACGATTCAAACGAATAATTGGCTGATAAACGTGAGAAAAGCGCCAGATTCCGCTAACAATTAGGACGATTGGCTGCAAAGACGGCAATCAAAGACATGATTGGCGCCGACCTGAGGCCAATAAGGCCAATAGTCGTACTGATTGGCTGTTTTGCCACCTAAATGGAAATATTTAGGCAATATTTAGGCAAATTCGCTGATTTTATAGGCAAAACAGCATCAAATGAGATTGCCTACCACAGGCAATATAGGTCCAAAACATATCAGCTCTAACGAGTGCATTGAGCGGTTTAGTTCCTTTGCAATTTTAACGTATTTCCCAAGAAGAAGAGAGAGTTTAATCAAATAAAATCAGTTAATTAATATCCGTAAAACACAGTATCATGCATGGCTTGAGTCACATTGTTCTAGATAAGTTACTTTTGAGTTTAGTTGCATTACAAATTATTTCAAAGAGTTGTTTAGCGTATGGATTACTGCATTATAGAATTGTTTACAATGTCGGCATGTAGTAATCCTACGTACGAGTATATTTCCAATGCTAAGTCAATCATCGTACAAAAAATACCCCCGCTGCAGCAAACCTGCCAACTAAGCGAATTTCCATTTGTTAAAATTGATTCCGAATCAAATCTAATTAAAACATTAGGTTTAACGAGTACCTAGGTTTGCTGCTACAAAGAAACTAATAAAGTGTGTTTTATTGTAAAATATTAATAGCTTATTTTAAAATAAATAAATTTGCCAAGTTTAATCAAAATATATCCTTAAACAAGCAAACTACAACATTTGACAATATTCTCCAGAAGAATAGCATGGGAATTTTAAATTGACAATTTTTTAATCCTATCCGTTATCAATATATACCGTTATAACCCTTTGATGTACTAAATTTGTTTTTAAAGATTTTTTAAAACATCTAAAGAGAAATTGGGAAATATTGTGTTTTTAAGGTAAAAAATGAGAAAAATCATTTGTCACCCCATAAACCCGTAAAACCCCGTCCCCATGGCCCCATCATGCTCGTTCGCGAACTCATTCAAGTTTATCCTGCCTTACACCTTTAAACAAAATTTCATCAAAATTGGACAAAAATTACTCAAGTTATCGCGTTCACGGACGTATATATATATATATATATATATGTAAATTTATTTTAACGAATGGTGTTTTAGGCCTCTGGAGACATCAAAATGAAAAAGTAAATCGGCCCCGGGCCTAGGTCTTACCGTACCACCTACGGTAATAGCTACTTCCCTATAGGGAAATTCGCTAAAACGTTCGTCCTTGCTATTACAGTGTCGAAGAATCAAACGATTACAATTGAGTCAGCCCAACACCATTTGTCTTTAATTACAATCAATTTGTCTTTGATTGTAATTAAAGACAAATGTCCTCAAGTTCCCGATTGCTTAAGATAAATTACTTAGTTCCAAAAATATAGTTTTTGACATGCACATAGTAAACCAGGTAAGCCCTAGGAGTTTAACTGTTACCAGCTAAGAGATTTTTATACACCCTACAGCATCAGTTAGGCTTTACTTACAAAAATCGCTAACTTTTTGCTGAGCTTTGATAAATGTTTTTTTCCTTCAAAATATGTTTTGCTTGGAGACAAAATGTTTGTATATATATTTTTTAATTTTACGAATGAAACCCCTAATTGGAGATAGTTGTTATAATTGAGGTATTTTTGAACACCTTGTTTTGTCAATAAATTGTAATAATTGCAAACCTCTTCTCCAAGTGTTCAAGAGTATTTTGTGCTTTCATTTATACATTTTTATTTCACCATTTTGTCCTAAAATAAGACATTTAAAGTGAAGGAGACTTAAATAAGGTATTGACTAGAGATTTATTGTTGTATATTCTAAACACCCTTTTTATTCGATATTACGTTTTCCCTATGACTTTTGGTAGAAATTTACATTCCATACCATTAAAGTTATTAAGTCATAAATAATTTATAAATAGACTGAACTGAGACAACGACTAAGTGCGCGAATGTAAATTACAGATTTATGTCGAATTCGACCACTTTTTTTACCAACTGAAGTTGGCACGACTTATTGTAAGCTAAAACATCTTATATGTCATAATTAGTACCGTATCTTAGTAGCATATCCAAAGAAAGGTAATATAATTTTAAACTGTAGCTCATTTGAAATACCCATGTTTTTGTTAAGGAGAAAAGGAAAATTATTTTAGTTTGATTGATTATAGATATATTTTGATCAAACTTGTCAAATTGATTTATTTAATCTATTACTACTGGCATTTTATATAAAAAAAAACGCCGTTTTCTCTTTCTTTTAGCAGCAAACATAAGTTGAGTAGCTAAAACACAGTACAGTAGGTACAATCCAATAGGACAAATTTAAATTCGCATAGTCTGCAGGTTCGTTGTGGCGGGGATATTTCAATAACATATGGGGTACAGTTGTTCCATATAAATGAAAAGTCAACACGGGTATCGAAAAACCAATAGTTTTACCTTTAAAAAACACAAAATCTATCGTAAAGTTTTCAACTACACTCTTAAGTATTTAAACACAATTTTCAAAATTATGAAATATATTCAACAATGAGAAACCCCGATGGGAAAATACTTAAAGGAAAATTTATGTATGGATTTAACTAGAGATCAATTATTATTCAGTTTTGAGGCTACGGATATTTTAACATACTTTATCAGTTACACCATTAAAACAATACAAAAGACACCAAGTATGGTAATGGTTTAACTTACTCTACAGTAGGTCGCTGTCACGTGGGTTCTGCTGGAGCTGGAGCCTAACCTCTGGAGTTCCTGCGCTGGAGAGCTGGAGTAGTAGACTGCTGGAGTGGAGTGAATGCGTCGTCTGCTAGACGCTGCAGGACACGATGCACAATATGCATCTCCGGTCCACGCCGCCTCCCTGCATATTTATAGTCCAGACCATGTCCAGACGTCTCGACCGCCGACTAATTTGATTGCACTTGTTTATTCCGAGTCTTTCATTTCCAGTTTTGCCTCTTTTACACTTCGTTAGTGATCTGTTGAGTTCTTTAAGTCCCTAAGTTGTTGGGGTATTGCCAAGTGGTCTTTGTTGCAATGTGAAATTAAATTCTCGTGTTTACGGTGAGGACGATTTTTGATTAATAGACGGTTTTCTGACATATTTTCTTCCATTAGTTCGTCAACTTCTCTTATCATGAGCAAGTGGTGGGTCAACTTTTATATTTTATGGGGAAAACACATCATATAATTAAAATTAACTAGTGCACCTGTTGCTCGAATTCGAGCAATTGAAAAGTATTACAGGCGTTATTTCAAAACGAAAAACAGTAATAATTTCCGATGACTTAAAAGAGTCAACTCAAAGAATGTCACTCACTCCACTCCAGTTATCGAAACTAAAAACTAACTCACTCTGAAAACGAACGCTCTTATGTGTGTTATTTGTTTACTATGAACAGCTGTTATTAATACAAATTATTCGTCTGTTTAAGTAAACAAAATATTTTGTTCGTAAGAAATACATTGGGACTTTGATGGCCTGTGGGGCGAAGCCCGAGGACTTTTGTTACAGGAATTGGTGAAAGGGGGCGTCTACACAAAAAATACTTTATTTTGACACGTCGTTTGTAAAAACCCGTCCATTATTAACGGAGGAGTAGTTTTTCGTAGAAATCACCTTCACGTATAAGAATAAAAATAAATGATAAAGAATAAGGATAAAGATAAGGATTAAATAGTGTGAAAATGTAGTAAAAGGATGATAGTAAAATAAACTGTTATCATGATCAAACAACAAAATCACGCCATAACACGTATTGAGTAATTTAAATTTGTGCATTGACATTAATACGTCTAAGAGAAATTTCTAGAACTAGTTAATAATTAGACTGTACAGATTGCAATTGTTCCTTGGTATTTCATAGCCAAGATTTAAAGTTTCTCTAGTTGGCCTTACGACATTCAAAAACTACTATTTAATTGTTAGTTTATTGTAATGTTTGTGTCTAATTAGTGAGTCGACTTAAATCTGTCAGTGTCCAATTAAATCCTATTTAGTCTGGTTAAAGAATCAAGCAAATGGAACTCTTGTTTTTTGTATATTGTACAGTTTGTATTTATTTATCTGTCAGTTTTTAATCCCATCCTAATTGTAAGGTTAACAATTTAACATTTAGAAAAACATGATTCAAACTTTGCAATAAAACAGCAAAAAAGATGGTCAACTGTACCTTCAGTTTTAACTAACGTGCCATAGTCTATATAATGTGTACAGTTGAAAATTAACATTGCAATGCAGTTCACTTAAGTTTTTTTATAGCTATCGTATTAATGCCTTAACGTTGATAGTAAATTTATAACGCTTAATTGATTATGTCACCGCTGCTATCAACATCTTACTTTGATAGTTTTTGCTTGTGGCAATGAAACATAATTTTATTTAGCATTACTTTGATTGTTCTCGATTTAGAAGGCTTTGAAAGACAGACGGGTATCCAAGACATTTGAATTGTGCGCACGTAGTGTATTACGCTATTGTATAATATAGTGTATAGTCACAGACAATATATAGTGTTATACACATGATCTTTGAAGCTCGCGAGTTTTGTGAGAAACTACACATGTGAAGTGCTCGTCTTATTTTGTCAGATTAGTGCAGTTTTTAAATACAGTTTGATCGATAATATGAATAAAAAGGTGTTCGAAGAACGGCAATTAATTGTTATGTGATAAGGTAACGTTAGTGCTGTAATCATTCAAAACAGGTTACTAACAAAATATGTCTGAGCTAACTTACAGATTGCTTATAGAAAATTCAGTACGAGTTAATTTTTGTAGCCAGTGATGTAAAGCAAAAAAATGGCAGGTGTATAGATTTAGAATTATTTAGATATTTTTTAAATTTCTTTAGATTATTTGCCTCTTTGTTACAACGTTATCTAAATGAGTTTTATTTAGGTTTTGTACAGTACAAAAATTGGAAAGGATAATTTGTTAATAATAACTAAACATTCAATTTTTCGCTAGTATGCTCTTGATCTATTTTGCACGTGAATTACCTTCAAAATGACCGTAAAACGTATGTGTTGTTAGTTTTTATGTTTCAACATTCTTTTGTTGTTTAGATGATCATTTTACTAAATACCTTCTTAAAAGTCAATCATTTATGATATTACAAACTAGAAGTAGTTCTTGCCTCTCTTTCTGTTTGTTCCCAACGAACTATATAACAACAAATATTATATTTTGAATGTAGATGTTCATTTTCCCCCATGGCAAAAACATGTTTACACTTTATCTACTTCACTTTGATGAATGCCTCTGCCCCGAAAGCTGATTGAATCAATCAAAAGAAAGCTAAAAAAGCTGAGGGATCAAAAGAAAAGTATTCTTCACTATTATTATACTGTAGTTATATTATTATTAGTAGGCCTAGTATTATTCTTCAATTGAGAGCTATGACATAGTTGAATTATGTTGCACTGATTTAAAATTTTTCCAACATTTTGGGGGAAATAATTGTTGCACAGTTTATATTGCCTGTTCAGCTGGGGCTTTGAAAATACGTAAAACCTTTTTAGATCTTCAGCAAATGTATATATTTCGATACCTCACCCTGTAGCAAAGCAAGGATACAACTTATTGAAAAAAAATTTGAATCCCACGTACAAAGATCCTTCCATTGCAGTCTTCACCTCCATAGCACCACAAGGAATAGCATATCCCCCCTGATAACACTGACTAATGCTCCTTTGTAGATGATTTGAAACACCGCGCAATAATTCGATCTACATCCTCATTTGAGCTTCTCATCTCGAGATTTATAAGTCACCTGGGGCCCAAAAGCGACGCACGTGTTACGAATGCGTAATGATGTGCAATGAGCCGTGTCATGCCGTGGACCGGTCACGAAAACGAGCACTACCGGGCCGTGCGTCGTGCGCCGTGCGCCGCCCAGACAACAATAGGCGCACTGGAATAATGCGGCTTGCACACAATGTATGCAGTTTGGCTGCGTTCCTGGAATGAATATTGCAACTGACAATAGTTATATTTTTCCTCATACTGCATCAGAAAACAGCTGGTTTAGATAGTGCGTTGTGAAGTAGCTATTTTAGGGTTAAGTCAGCTGTTATCTGAGTTGTACATTTTGATTGTAATCGATCATGAATCGATTGTTTTAATACGTTGTTATTGTTGCCTTGTCAATAGTGTGACAGATGGTGTAAACTTACACAATCGTAGTAGACAAAATGATTGAATCACTAAACAAGATCTATTCGTATTACTAAAATAGAAAACAAGTTGGGAGTCGTTTAGAGAGGTCATCTTAATTAAAATAAATGTATTTTTCCTACAGTTACCTAACAATGTGCATGTTCTCTCACTGATTTGAGAAAGCAAAGTGGCCAATTCGCTCATCAGTGAGAATTTGTTAACATTGTCGCACTCTAATTACTTTATCTCACTCCAAATTTGCAACGTGAAGGCACGAAATAGTGAGCGCGTATCATGCAGACAAGGTCGTATGCGCGCGAAATACGTTTACAGCGCTCTAGGTCAGCTGTTGTACTGTCGTATCATTAAATGTACAGTAATATTAAAAGTTCACTTCTGTGTAAAAATATGTCACGTTTCTTTACCAATTTATTTGTTTTATGGTAACTGTAGGAAAAATATAATGAGCAACTCGAGTGCAAAGTGCAATTGCCTCACTCGAGAAGCCATTCCTCACTCGCATACGGCTCGTGAGTAAGTATTTCTCTCGAGTGAGTCAATTGTTCCCTTTGCTCACTAGTTGCACAAATAACTATTCTTTTTGTAGCTTAGTCGAGGCAATTCTGACCTTTTCGTAATTTCGTCTGCAGATTTTTTCGAAGAAAAAAGCCCCTGCTGATAAGTATGGTATTGCATCGTCATCAAAATGTTTTGTGTTTACTATCCTATCTAATTGTTATAGGATTTCACCACAATTAAATCGTAGCAATGAATACAAACCCTTTGTAGGCACTTTAGATATAGCTTAAAATAATGTGTAACACGCACGAATACTTAAAAGAACTCTAGTATTAATTCGTGGTAAAACTGTTGCGGGCAGGAGCCATGTGGAGGTGGGACACAAACAACAATAAAAACATGATGTGATTACAACCTAAGATAAATGGACAAATTGTGTGGCATGGGTGTTGTGGTGGAAGTGGTCTTGGGCTGCTTTACGCTCATATGATGGACTGTTTTTGTAAGGAATACTTTGTTTATGGTGGAGGTCCACGGGCCGGAAAATATCGGAAGACCGGAGCTAACCCAACAATGTAAAGAACTGAGTTGTTTATATCGTTGGACTAACCTCTTCACGTTTCGACCTTGTTTGTATTCATGCATCGTAGTTTAGATAAATTTGAGTATATTATTGTCTTGGTGGGGTAAATGCAGGTTGTTAGAAACGGTAACAGCTGTTTGTATATACAAAACAAGATGAAATCCATTTTGGGAGCTAATTTAGAAAGGTAAAACATATAAAAATATCGATTTGTGATTCAGTTAGCCGAAGGAATTTAGAATAACGAAACATATGTTCATCACGAGTCAGAATTGTGTTTCCACCCTAGTTAAATTTGAGCTCGAGTCAAAAAGAGTCACTTTAGGCCATAGTTATGAAATTTACTAATAATAGGTTACATACAAGAATAAAACTGATAAATTGTATATTGTGAATAAGAAACATAGTTGCTGAAGGCTATCTGATTTTTTGGTTCAGAACTTTAATTAATTTACGACGCCAGAGATTTGTTCATGGAAAAATATAATAATAGTCTCTACAACAGTCCTATAATGTATGGTGTTATTTATTTTAGGTAGGG